GAAAAAGATCGCGACCGCGATTATTTTGCATTTTTTCCAGAATGTTCAAGGGACATTTTCCTCAATCAACTTCAAGTGCAGGATTTGCAGGATTTAAAAAATTTAGACTCCTCAAAAGGTCCAGTATTTATTAAATGTCCAGCAATGCTCCATTGTTCTGGATTTTTAATATGTCCCTGGAATCTGGAACCTTCCCAAAAACTTGGAAAAGCTCATTCCTAGTGCCTATCTTTAAATCTGGCTGAAAATCTGGTGTACGTAATTATCGTGGTATAGCCATTATCTCTTGCATTCCTAAACTTTTCGAGACAATTGTTAACGAAAAATTATTTCTCCCAATCAAAAATAGAATTACTGACATTCAATGCGGCTTTTTCAAGGGTCGCTAGACCTCGATAAATTTACTTGAATTTATAGACTATTCATTGAATGCAATGAATAATGAAAACCACGTAGAAGCTCTCTAAACAGACTTAAACAAGGCATTTGACCGCATAGACATACCAATGCTACTTTTTAAATTGCAAAAAAAAACTGGAATTTAGTCAGCTCCTAGCTCCTAAAATAACTAACCGCCAACAAATAATTAAATTCAACGGAAAGAAAACGAGTCCAATTCAAGTCACTTCAGGCATCCCCCAAGGCTCTCATTTGGGACCTCTTCTTTTTATTCTATACGTAAAATTGCTTATTTATGCCGACGACATGAAGATCTTTTTGGAAATAAGAAATGAAGAAGACATCAATATATTCCGGAATGAAATACACATATTCTACATATGGTGCAAAAAAAGTCTACTAGAATTGAATGTAAAAAAATGCAACTTAATATCACGGTGCCGGTGCAGGAAAAGAACAACTTCAAATATTTCAATTGCACTAGGAAATCAAAATGTAAAAAAATGTGAAAGAGTTAGGGATTTAGGAATTATCTTAGACTCTAAACTAACTTTCATAGACCATTACAACACAATAATTCACAGGGCAAATAACATGCTAGGCTCTATCAAGTGCTTTTGCTATAACTTTCAGGACCCATACACAATTAAAACACTATATATTGCCTATGTGAGGTCAATACTGGAATATTGCAGCATTGTATGGTCTCCTTTTTCAATCACGCACGAAGAAAGATTAGAATCCGTACAAAAACAATTTCTATTATACGCTCTTCGTAAATTAGGTTGGACATCATTTCCTCTTCCATCATATGAAGCACGCTGCATGCTTATAAACATACAAACATTAAAAGAGCGTCGTGAATATGCAATGGTTTCATTTGCAAACGATATCGTTTCGCAACGCATTGACTCCACAGAACTTTTATCAAAATTAAATTTCTATGCACCTACTCGGCAACTCCGAAATCGAAATTTATTTGCCATACAACATCATCGCACAAATTATGCAATATATGGGCCATTAAACCGCATGATGGCCTCTTACAATCAATACTGCGAAACCATACAATGTCTCGGCATAAACTAAAACAATATTTTTACTCCATAAGGCATTATAACTCATAAAAAATAGGAAAGCTGACACTGCTTAATTTTTATTAAAGAAAAAAATATACTTTTAACCTTTTGTCCAAAGTTGACGAAATAAATAAATAAATTTAAGAAAACAAAACTGTATTCTTATATGTACTAGTCTACGTTGGTTGACGAAATAAATTAAAAAAATAAAGAAATTGTTTCTTTACTCAAAATATTAGCTACAAAAGGATTTTTACGTCGACGACTATATTAGAGGATCCGTAAATGTCGCCCCATCGAGCTTAGAAAGAATTTGATATCGTTGATGGCCAAAGGAGGATTTCCAATCCAGAAATGGTGCTAAAATCAGCCTGAAGTCCGGTATTCCTGAGGATAATTGGATCATTGTCGTATTGTTACGAGGACTTGGATGGCGCCAAGGCCATGTTTGCTGGCAGTTTGAGGAGACAAATGCGGTGAAATATTTCAAAGGCAAGTTAACCATCCCTTTACTTATACCACCCAACGGATCATCTTACATAATTGTGGGGCTCATTGCAACTTTTGTGGTCGTGCGATTGGCGATATACAACGCGACGTAGCAACACTTCGACAATTGAATACTATAGATGTCCAAGGCTCCAAGCACGAATTGTACGAGCTGTACAAAAGCCTCAATAGCAAAGCTGCCCAACAAGCTATTGGATCAGAAATGTCGCAGCAAGGAATATCCTGGCATTTAATTCCACCCCGTGCCCCCAATTTCGGTGGATTGTGGGAGGCAGCAGTACGCTCCGCCAAAAGCTGCCTGAAAAAGGAAGTCGGTACGAACCAATTGAGTCATGAAAACTTCTGCACCCTGCTCGTACAAATATCGGCTGCCCTTAACTCTAGACCTCTAGCTTCATTATCAGACGACCTTAGAGACCTCGATGCCTTAACACCAGCCCATTTTTTGATCGGGACTTCTATGAAAGCCCTCCCAGATCCCGATCTTACAGCTATACCCACTAACCGCTTAGCCCACTATCAGCAACGGCAGCAGATGTTCCAGCGATACTGGCAGCGTAGGAGTCAAGAGTACATCACTGGACTTCAGGAAGCAAGTAAGAATCGTCTACCAAGCACCATCCGTGTTGGCAGCATCATGATTCTTCGGGAGGACAACTTACCACCACTTCAATGACCCCTAGCGAGGATAACCGAGGTTCACCCTGGCGCAGACGGAGTTATACGAGTGGTGATGATCAAGACGTCTAAAGAGACCTACAGGCGCCCAGCCAACCGCATCTGTCCGTTACCCATCGAGGATTCTGCGAGAATTTAAGCAAATTTTTTGAACAATATCTAAAAGCTAGGTTTGTTTAGGTATGTTGAAACCTAGTTTCAAGGAGGGCGGAAATGTTGGATGTTTTAGTATTAAGCGATAGTAGAATTATTTAAAATTGAAATTTACAACACTGGTTGATACAGAACTGTTATACATGCACCACATATAGAAGACAGTCACTAAATACTTACACTATTAGTACCTAAATGAACAATCAACACGAATATAACACGAAAAGATAGTAAATGAATTCCTAGGTATGATAGACAGATAACAGCACAGTGAATTTAGTTAGCGAACGAATAAAGGCAAAAATATATACACGCGCACTTTACAAACCGTACGAATAAAGTGTATTAAACTTTCGTCCCCAAATAAAGTGCTTGGAAGTGGAATTGTTTCAGTTCTATTGTATTTGTGGAAAGAAAGGAATCGAGCGGAGCAAAAGGATACCTAGGATATTCGGAAAGGATCGGAATTGGAAGGAAAAAATAGTACACAACGTAGGATCTAAGGTACATGACGGTGGATACAAGGTGTCTATTTGGAGCACGGAAAGGCAAACGGAGTATTCGGCTCAACCAACAAACCTAAATCCCCCAACAGGGATTATAGGCAGTAAAGTAGTTCTCTGCCATATTATCTTAAATTTGATTTGAGGTGGATAGTATTGCTCAATTTATGATTTCTTGAAGCAGATTTATTCAGGTTCAACAATACCCACTAGTTTTCAGAATACAGGGAAATCCGAGCAATAAATTGAGAAAAAATAGACTGCACGATTGAGTTAATACAACTCGTTGAAAATTAACAATGCACACTAATCCTGTCAGTAAGTTTTTACTTGGTTTTTGAATTGTGCAACTGTTCGGTTGAAGTTTGAAAATCTGTGGATCATAAATAAGACAATTTATTCCAAACTTGTGCAGACTTAGTTCTCGATTTCATTGATTTCTTACTAATACCGGTCATTTGAATTTTTACACCAGTTCAAACACCCAGTAAAAAATACTGAGTCCTGTAAAATAATCCAAGTATGTGCATGAGACTCAGCATTGCCAGAAACGACATATTTCTGTCAGAAAAAACTTGATCCTGCTTAAAATGCGACAACTTCATCCAGGGAAGTTTTCGGATCATACTCAACACGAAAATTGCACACCACCAGTGCCAATGCAAGTGCGATAAACGACTGCGATCGCTTGATCGAGGTTAAATCAACTTTTTTCATCTTTCATTAATAGACCTATCGGAAACTGGTACCGCACCATTTATCTTTACCTCATTTCGCCTCATTTTTTATATCTCTTTCGCTTATGATTTTTTCATGAACGCATCTCGCTCAGCGCCATCAACTAGGGGACGCACTTCCTCCCAACAGTTGGCCCCAAGGTTCAACTATCGAATCAAGTTGTGACACAGATAAATTTGTCCCAAACCTCGGACACTCGGAACCAGTAGCCATTCCAATTAGTGTAAATTTGAGCTCATGTATATTGATGATTGCTTGATTTTCGATTTTCTTTTAAAGACTTCAACCCTGACGCGCATAGCAGAGCGAAAGAAATGGAGAGATCCAGAAAATTTGAATAAAACATCAATTTTCAACCTCGGCTTTTGCGGGCTATTATCAGTGCTTCTTTTCGATGCTCGATCGCTATTTTGATCCCCCATGGTCCACGGTCACGGTGGTGCGTATGTGTTAGTGCATGTGCTGAAGAGTAGTAATAATCCAAAACGAAAGGAAAATCTGACCCATATTTAGTTTTTTTTTTTGCATTAATATCTTATTTTTCTGGTTTGATTGCTATGCGGTGTCGATTCTTTGATGCTTGGATTGAGGCCGTTTGACCACCGTTTGGAGTAAAATTAGAATCGGGAAGTTGTACTGTAAAATGGTGATGAACTCGTGTCGTGGGGCTCCAGACAGGGATCATTTATCAAACTGCTTATTAGACCATCAAATCCACCGAGAAAAATTGACACGGCACGGAATTTCCCCCCTTGCAGAGCGCACACGCATCCACATACGGTACACATAGTGGCTACTCGTAGCGATGACCCCAATAGAAGGCATGACTTTTCTTTCTTCAGTGACACCATTTCGTTCAAATCTCATGACTATGAATAATGGTCTCAAGTCTGACTGACGGCGTATGAAGATCAACGAGGTTCAATCGTATTCAACTTACATATCGCAAGTGCTCCAGCCACGGCGATAAATCCTCCTCTAGACAGCATCTTAACGGTTTTGTACCACTCCGTCCTACTCTAGTTCTTCTTTGCCAGACTCGCACACACACACACCCAAACTCAACTTCACTTCACTTGGACAAGCACCTCCGCGTCCCGAAAACAGCACTACTATCACTTTCCGATCTGTCGGTCACACTCCCAACTTTCACGCCGTAATTTCAAATCTCCCGCGCTAGAAAATCCAGAATCTCACTTTCGATCGAAACCTCGGTGTCGTTGGCCCTTCTGGCCATAAAGCACACCCACTCTCCGCACTCAAAACACCCAAACACTCTCCCCTGGGTCCGTGCCACAATTTGTCACGCACTAGTTTCCTATGCCGTGTCGAGGGAGAAAACCATTAGAAGTCCATCCAGAGCCTCCGTGCGCGTTGATGGGGCCTTCAAGTCCCGTTCGAATTCCGTCCGTTTCGCGCGCCACTCCAACATACACTGCTTCGTCTTCTTCTATATCTTCGCACTCAATCACGTAGCCCTGGTCCAACAAGGGGTCCCATAGGCCAAGAGAAGATCCACACCGTTCGAAAGCTCACAACAGACTAAATCCAACCGCTGGGTTGCGGGAAAATATGTACACTCTGACGGTCCGCAGCAGCAGCAGCAGTGGCAGTGGGCTCCGATCGTTCGGATTGGATCGAGAAAAAAAAGCTCCGATCTTTGACGAGCGAAGCAGAGTTGAAAGTTTTGCTCTGGAGGCTGCAGCGGTCGACCGTCGTTGATCATGATGGGGTTCGTCGCTCGGGGTTGTTCTAGGAGACTTGGTTTGTGCTGTTCTAGCATGATAAGAAGAAGCATGATCAATCAAGAAAAGGCACTTGATCGTGACCTTATCCGCGGTGATCGCTGTGAAATCGGATGGGTTTTGATCGAGGAAAAGTTGTCTTGGCGGGTAGGATATTACCGTGCGCGTGAAGTCGGGATGGGATGGGAAGGAAAGGAAAAACAACAATCGTTTCTATTTTTTTTATGCGCGATAAATGCTGTGTTTGAAGATGACCGTGACAGTTACGCTATAACCGAGGAAGATATGATGTAAGATTTGCTTCGGAAGTGCAATGTTTTTTTTTTTGCAGATGAGGAGATTGTCTGAGCTGTTGAGTTGGGTGGTATTCAAGAATGGTGGCATAAAACAGATTCAAACAATCATTAGCGCAGCGTTCCAGTCATCGAGGAATTATTGAAATGACTCATAGTTTGGTTGGCATCGGACTACATAAAAAGGTTTGCAGATTTTTAAACTTTTTACTGATTTATTTGAAGAATAGTCAAAAGGTCGTTAGTATATTTATGGACAATAACATCAATCGTCAAATGTCTCGGGGTCAAAGTAAGATAGCCTAGTCGGTAAAGGCACGGTATTACTAAGTTGGCGGCGGTGGGTTTAATTCCCGGTCTCGACTTCCCTAGCCACAAAACATACAAATTCATACAGTGGTTAGCATAGAGAGCTCTCAATCAATAGCTGTGGAAGTGCATCTAGAACACTACATTAAGAGTCGGTACAACGCTCGCTACAGAAGTGTAAAAAGGCTAGAAGAAGAAGAACACATTTGAGGCCATTCGTTGCTTGTTCGTGGATGAGATTTGAACTCGTGACCTTTAGCCTAGTAGCCTTGCTCAAAGTTAGTTGCTCACTTCGCCCAGACATACAATCTTGAAATTATCTTCGAGATACATTCTTATTCTCTCGTATTCCTTGCTTCCGTTTGTCATGCTCAACATGTCGTCCACGTACAGCCAGTGCTTTTGTAAAATTTGAACTAAGTAGTCGCATTTTTTTCATTTCAACGTGTTAAAAATCGTGGCGTTAAGAAACATTCGATCTAAATGATCGTACGTTTTACCATTACCATCATTATAATGAGTGATATAGGGGAAATGGATTTAATGTTGCTTACATGCAAGTTTTCTACCTTTTTCGACTTTTATTCCTCTTCGACCCTTGTTTGGACCCTACCCAAGGTAATCCTGCTTGGATATCGATTTGAAAAATTCCTCTTCGATCCTTCAGCTTCTTATAGTTATCTGTTGGGAAGTCGATTTGAATAAACGTTTTACTGCCGCCATGTTGCCTAAGCGCAAAAGAAAAGGGCAATATCTTGATCCCTCTTCTAATGAAATTAATTTGAGCAATCAATTTTATTTTCTTACGGATGATGAGAATAATCCATCATCCAGGAAAAATTCTAATAAATTTTCCCGGCTTAGTGCCAAAAAGGAACAGACTCCCCCATTTGTGATAACCACTTCCGATTTCTATGCTCTTTGCACGGAACTTTTGAACTTCGTGAAATTCAAGTTTTCACTGTAAATTGGCCGTCGGGGTGAATGCCGTGTATTGGCTGAACCTTGGACGGATTCAAACGTCTACTCAAGTATCTTACTGAGAAGCAGCATATTTTTTTAAAATCCTGATGAATGTGGACGTCTTAGTGGAATACCTGTATAATGAGAGAGAGAGAAGTATTAGTAATTTTCATTTAATTCCACTACCTTATTTGCTTATCTTTGACAGATACGCGTATTTCGTCTACAATGTGCAGACTTCTTCAGTGTCTTGTACTAATTTGCGACTGAAGAAAAACATCGTATTTACCGAATATATATTAACACAGGTACATTTTCACTTAGAAACTCGGTAAACTTAAATTTAATTTTCTATAGTAACAGGTACTCCGCTGAAAAGCAAGGTGTGTCCGTTTCCTTGATCCCTGTTGAGTAAAGTTGAATTACGTTGTTTGTTGATCTCGAAGCTTTCTGCAACATCCAATTTCCATGGTGTAGATACGGTTCGCAAAATCGTGATGTCCTCCGTCGATAGTTGGTGGTCTTATGTGAAGATGTGTTCTGCAACCTTTGATTTGAAATCATATGTTAGGCCTTTTTCCTCTTGCTTTTTGGCCTTATTAACCTCCGATATATGTTCTTTAAATATAGTTGCTAAAGGTCTCTTGGTTTGTCCTTCATATACTTTGTTACAATGATTGCAGCTTATTTTATATACACCTCTGCTTTACCTAAAACATTAACTGGGTCTGTAGTGAATCCTAACAATGATTTCAACTGGTTATGTCTACTGGTGAAAACTTAATCTAATCCGAATTGTTTTAACAGTGGTCTTAGCTTACAAGTAATATCTTGGTCAAATGGAACGGACACTCTTTTCAATGGTTCAGGTGCTGCGGTGAGGGTTGTAAATAATCTTCTTTGTAGAATTCTCGCTTTTTTATCGATGATTGCCTGGATTGTGGACTCCTTGTATCCGTTGAGTCTTGCTGTTTCGAAGATGTACTGTAATTCCTTAACCTTTCCTGTATCGCTGAGTGGAAGAGTCTGCATTCGATGAATCATGTGGTGAAAGGCGGCCATTTTCTGCTGGAACGAATGGTAGGAAGTATAGGGGATAACTCTTTTGGTGTTTGTTGGTTTCCTGTAAACTTCGTATTCAAGCGAGGAAGATGATGACGATTCCCTGATGACTAGTAGATCGATAAATGCGAGTTTCCCGTCTTTTTCTAACTCGTGAGTGAATTTGATATCCTTGTGAATTCTGTTGATCTCATCTAAAATTGGTGGAAGGGCTTCCCGTTTACATTCGAGTTCGGGACATCGTTGTTGTCTATAGCAACCGCGTACGCGTTCGGAATATTGTTGTGTTTTGGTGGTATTTCGCGATCGATTGATCCAAAAACGCCACCCGCAGCTAGTGGCTAGTGTTAACTAGTGACAAACATTCAAATCCGATCATTATCGGTGAAAATTTGGGTGATAATAGTGCGATAAAAGTGCCTCACCGCGTGGTTACAGTGGAAACAACAAACGGCCATCGCGTCGTTCGACGGTTGTGTGGTGTGGTCCATTGAGGTTTCTTTGCTTTGTGACCCGAGTGGCAAGAGGTACACAAGAGTGAACAAATCGATTTTTTTGGTTTTTGGTGAAAAGTTTTTCACTGAAAAGGGAAGTGACGGGAGTCACTTTTTTTGTGATTTCGCTTTGTAGGCGTGACATTGAAGGAGCGTAAGGTAGGAAAATCTTTTGTTTTTCTTTATTTTACCGTCTCTGGAGTAAACAACGGGTGACCGTTGTTACTTTTTACCTTTTTCCAACGTCCGCCGTGTTAGCGCGAGAAAGTGGTAGAGTAGTGTAAGGCGGTAATGACGGCCGCTAGTAGTGGCGACCCTGGAGGGTCAAGGGAACAATGGCCAAGGTTAGGAAATTCAACGCGTGAATTTGGTGCACTGTCATACCTTCTGTTAACCAGTAAGGATACAGAAAAGCCTTTAAAGTCGGATCCTTTCATTGTTGGAAAGTCGGTAGAAGATGCTGCAGGAGGGTCAATTGAAGGAGCATCGACAGAAGCTCAAGGAACTCGATACACGCTCAGAGTTAGAAATCAAGTCCAGGTTAATAAGCTGCTTAAGTTGTCCACTCTTTTGGATGGTACTGAGGTCGTCGTTCAGCTGCATCCCAACTTGAATGTGAGCCGTTGCGTTATTTCGTGCTTTGAGGCGATCCGCATGGAGGACAAGGACGTGCTACTTGGTCTCATTAGCCAGGGGGTCATTCGAGTCCAGCGAATCACTCGCAAAGAGCACGGTAAACCAGTCAACACGTCAGCCCTGATCCTTACGTTTAACAGGAGCAACTTCCCGTCGCATGTTAAAATTGGTGTCCTCCGTGTCGCTACCCGTCCGTACTACCCTAATCCTCTCTTGTGCTATGGTTGTGTCCGATACGGCCATCCCCGTATCCGATGTCCTGGTACGAAACGTTGCCTTAACTGTTCTGTCGATCATGAACTGGCGGAGGATGAACAGTGTGCAGCAGCTGCCCACTGCATCAATTGTGGTGGACCTCATCGTCCGAACAACCGTCAATGCCCTGTTTATAAGAAGAAAGTGGAAGTGATCTGTCTAAAAGTGGATCATAATCTGACGTACCCTGAAGCACGCAAGCGAGTCGAAACAGGGACAGGAAGTTACGCCGCAGCTGCAGCCCAGCAGACTGTCGACCGGAAAAAAATTTGGAGGAACTGGAAAAGAAAATGGAGGAGAAAGACGCCCAAATTGCTCAACTTCTTGAAGTGATGAAGAAGAAGGACGAAAAGATCGACAAATTAATGGGACACATTAAACTGATTCGAACACCGCAAGTTCAACAAACCCTGCTAGCTCAGCCGAGTAAACCGATCCATCCTTCTGAAAGTCAATCGAACCAAGCAATCGATACGAACCTGCATTCTCAACTCATGAGAAAATCCGGAGAATCGCAGATAGGCGCACCGTCGATGCATCTCAGAAGTAGATCGCCAGCGACAACGGAATCTAAACACAACAAGAAGAAGAAAATGCATGACAGGAGCAACAACACCTCACCCGGCCGACAAAGCCCACCGCTAAAGAAGCCCGTTGAAAAAACACCGACATCCGACCAGGAAACGATAAGCGTCGACGAGGATGAGATCGAAGAGACGCCCCCTAGTCAGCATCTTCGATAAGATTCATTCCTCCAAAAGTTTACCGACCAGCAATACTTACCGGACAT